ATATATTTTTTTTTATTAACAAAATTAACAATCCAGTGTTTCAATTTTTAATCTTTTTTTAATTAACAAAATTGATTAACATAATCCAGTATTTTTCAGGGAAGCCTTGAATAATTTCATTCCATTTGGATATTCTCAGAGTTTCTCATGATAACATCCTTTGCCTTTTAGAACTTGTGGTCACAAAGTTATTTGGGGAGAACTTTTTAATTTTACTTATTGGTGGTAGAGACTGACTAGAGAGTAGTAACTCAGGAAAGTCATTTTATATATATAGTAATACAGTATTACTATTTAAATAGTAATATAAAGTCTATATTTATATATATATATGTAGTAATACCTTATTTGATTCACTATGATACTTTGACATTGGCATTTAAGTGCTCACAGTTTAGCAGTAAATGGTGCAGTGTGGCAGAAGTTCTAGTGATTAGAGTAGTCAAGCTGTTCTTCTAGTAAGGAACTCTAGATTAAACATATTCACTCTCAAAGTTATCATCTGATATCTTTACAGTTAGACACTGGTAGTTATGGGATCTCTTTTTTGAAAATGATCAAACCAAGACAGACTTTGTGAATTCCGTAGCCACTTGTGATTTAAAAGCCAAACCTTTTATCTGAAAATAAAATGAAACCCCAGACTTCTTAATAAGATAGCACAAAACCTTCTATTCCTGTGTTACATTTAACCTCATGGTATCCGTGAAGCTGTTAATTTCTGGTGGTTATTGTTTTATCAGTCACTTTATTTTTCCATCTGTTCGCTTCAATAATATATTCACTGAACCATCCTTTTCTCCTCCTTTTCTGCCAACTCTTGTTTATCTAATTGCTGCTTTCTGCTCTGAACTTCCACTCCTCACCCAATTCCTCACTTCTTCTTGGTGTCTCTTCCGCAGTGTGGGCTTTCCTCTGTCATAGCTCTGATCACCCTATGTTGTAATTGTCTTTGTACCTGTTTCTCTGGTAGACTGTGACACCCTGAAGGGTAGGGGTTCTATCTTTTATAATTATTCAGTGTTTCCTCCTTATCTGAGTGGGATATGTTCCAAGATGCCTATTGGATGCTAAAAACCAAGGATAGTATATATATAAACCCTATATATACAGTGTTTTCTCCTATACATATATACCTATGATAGTTTAACTTACAGAAAGAGATTTATAAGAGTAATAAAATAGAGCAGTTGTAACAATGTATTGTAATAAAAGTTATATGAATATGGTCTCTTAAAATAATCTTACTGTACTGTATACTCGCCCTTGTGATGATGTAAGATGATACAGTGCCTACGTGATAAGATGAAGTGAGGTGAATGACATAGGCATTGTGACAGTGTCAGGCTTTATAAAGGTGACTGAACACAATCACTGCGATACTGCAACAGTTACTCTGATAACTGAGATGGCTACTAAGTGACTAATAACGCGGGGAGTGTCTACCGCATTGAGACACTGGACAAAGAGATGAGTTACGTTCTAAGTGGTATGGAACAAGATTTCATCACACTACTCAGAACAGCGTGCAATTTAAAACTTATGAATTATTTATTCCTGGAATTTTTCATTTAATATTTTTGGATGTCTGTTGACCGCGGGTAACTGAAACCTCAGAAAGCAAAACCACTGATGTATCCCCCTGTATCCCTAACCATCCAAACCTAGGATTTCAGTTTGTTGTTTTATAGAAGCTAACCCTGTCCTTTACTCTATGCCAAGTACATGGTAGGTGCCAAATAAATATTTGCTAATGGAAAGAATGTTGCCTTAATCCTAAAACTTTCCTACTTTCAGACCCGTAAGAAACAAAAGGAAGATGTGGATGTTGTAGGAGGCAGTGATGGTGAAGGTGCCATTGGGCTCAGCAGTGACCCCAAGAGCCGAGAACAGATGATTAATGATCGAATTGGTTATAAACCCCAAGCCAAGCCCAACAATCGTTCATCTCAATTTGGAAGTTTTGAATTTTAGAGGTGGATTATCTTGTGTGCCAGAGCCCTGGAATGGAGTAAAATGATGGCAGAAGTACAAACAAGATGTAGGGAATTGAGTGCTATCAGCAAGCAGGATATTTTACCTCCCGCAGAGAGAAATACTTCTGCATGAGATTACTGATGCTTAACTTTCACTCTAAGCTGAAATCCAAACTCTGGTTTGTCTCTGGAAAATTTGACTCTAAAAAACTTGTCTGATTTTTATTTTTAAAAATAAATATATTTTTGGAAAAGTGTGAGACATCCTCGATGAAATATAATATCACTGTTAACCTCAGACTTTAAAAGGTAAAGTCTGCTACATGAGGTAACATCATTCTTCTCGTCTTTATTAAAAGATCCTAAGCATAGTACACTTCCAGTTGGTCCTTGTCACAAACTTTCATTTAACTCATTTATTTGGCAAATTTTTATTGAGTGCCTACTATGTGCCAGGTACCATTCTAGGCACTTAGTAACATCAATGAGCAAAACAAAGATCCCAGCTCTTAGGAAGAATACCCAAATTTTAGTGGTTTTGTGTAAACTTGATCAAGTTGTGTGTTTCCAGAATCTGTTTTCGGGATGGCTTTGTGACTAGTTTGGGTATAATTTGGGGAGGACAGGCAGTAGAGGGAAACATAATAGGAATGCTCCTAAACAGTCTTATCATCATTCCAATTTACCTTCCTTTCCCAACTTGCCTAAAAATTTTTCCCACTAGGAGCCAATCTGAAGCAGCTCAGAGGGTAGTTTAGAATCATGTCCTATTGTTTACACTATTTAATTCAACTACAGGGAAACACCAACTGGTAGAACCTTGGAATCATCTGTTCTAAAGAGAAATCTTGGCAGGATTTTACCCAGCCTTTCTAGGGTAGTTTAAGAACGTGGGAAAGATCTATAGCCATGCCACCCTGAACAAGCCCGATCCCATCTGATCTCGGAAGTTAAACAGGGGTGGGCCTGGTTAGTACTTGGATGGGAGACCACCAGGTGCTATAGGCGTAAGAAAAAAAAAAAAATGTGGGAAAGGCAGGGATAGAAGGGGATAGTTTCTCTTCTCCCTTCAGCCATTCTTTAAAAACCTTATTCCAGTTTTACCTAGGGCCTTCAATTCTGTTATCTTACAGTCTCAAAAATACAGCATGTCAGCCTCCATGATAGGGAAGGTTATATTATCCTGAAGCCTGCAAAGGCCGATATTATCCTGAAGCCTGCAAAGGCAATGACAAAAGGCAGAAACAAGACTTTGCCTCAGCCTCTGTCACTGTGACTTCCCAGCATTAATAGGCACAGAAGCATAAAAATGTGCCTTCTGAATTTCTTCCCTTTCCCTCTTATACTCAGAAAGCTCTGTGTGTAAGACACTGTACTAAGTGCTTTATGCAGATTATCTCATTTAAACTTCAGTTCCTATGAGGAGAGCACTTTATTCTAATTTTACAAAAGGTAAAATGATGCTCAGCCATTGGGTAGAGCTGAGATTTGAACCCAGGGAGATTGATTTCTGAACCCATGCTTCTCAACTCACTACACTGCTTTCACTGCTTGACACTGTCTTTCACTGCTAGGTCTAAAAACATGCAGATGTCAGGGGCAGAGTGGGAGGTTGCTATGTCAGTTCTCAAAATTTCCATGCTATCCCATAAAGACAATTACCAGAAGATAAGAGCTTATTGCAGCTGTAAATCATTTTAGAGAACTGAAATCACATGAATCAATTGTGTATTTCTTAGGGCCAAGTGTTCATTTCTGGATTGCTTAAACTTAGGAAGATGGTCAAGTACTTGTGAAGAGATACCAGCCTTATCTAGAGGAGTGTACTTTTCATTTTCCTGAAAGCTGGAGTAACTAACAATTAATATAAATATACTTACTAGGATCAAATACATGGAACAGAAAATTTTATGAGCAGAACTCTACACACGGGAGTGGTTAGGAAAGCCTTCATGAGGTCTGTTTTGGTTAAACTCTCCTTTCCCTTCTCTCCAGCTGGTCCCCTAGCCTTCACATGAAGCCCCAGGGGATGGAATGCTCAGTCCCTGCTCTGTTCCTGATCCTGTGGTGTGTGCACACACATGCAGACACACAGACACACATGCATGTGTGTGCAGTGGAATATTACTCAGCAATAAAAAATAAAATCTTGCCCTTTGCAACAATATGGATGGACCTAGAGGGTACTGTGCTAAGTGAAATACGTCAGACAAGTACCATATGGTCTCATTTATATGTGGAATCTTAAAAAAAAAAGGAATAAAACAAAGAAATAGACCCATAGATACAAAGAACAAGCTGATGGTTGCCAAAGGGGAGGGGGGAGGGGGATGGGACTTTAAAAAATTAAACCCCGAACAAATCTCTGGTTCTTCCTCCCATCCACTCAGAAAAGGTATGGGAGGAAAGAAGGCAGGAAGGTTAACTGAGAACTAGATCCTCAGTGATGGAAACTTAGAGCTATACTTAAAATCACATTGGGATCTTGGGAAATAAGCCTTCCCACAACTTCCTTTTATACCCCAAGTCAATTGTGAAATTGGGAAATAAGCCTTCCCACAACTTCCTTTTATACCCCAAGTCAATTGCGCCTATCCCTTAACAGAAAATGCTCATGGTGCAACCAGGCTGACGTACCATCAGCCATCAGCCCCAGAAGCCTAGAGATAGCTGGTCTCAGTCCTTGGCTACCTCAAAAGTCTCCCATTCTGAAATTGTCCCTGGGGCTCCCTAAACCCCTTAGTAGCAATGAAGCTTAGAGGAAGATTCTTCCTTTCCAAATTAAGCACGGACACTTAACAAATTGAGTTCTTATGCAGTTTTCCTTGGATCAGGACTCACACATCCTGAGCGCGGGATCAGAACAGAACAGGAACTGAGCACTCCATCCCCTTGATCCTCATGTGAAGCCTGGTGAGCAGCTGGTGAGGAGGTGAGTTTAATCAAAGCAGCAGACCTCATGAGGCCTTTCCCAACCACTCCCATGGGTAGATTTCTGCTTTTCTTCTGTTCACAAGGAGTAAATTTCCTATTCCACTTATTTTATCAGATAGCAAGTGGTTAAGATCATGGACTCTGGGAACCAGGTTGGCCATGGATTTATCATTGTTGGTTGAAGCTGAGTGGTAATGGCCAAGACTCTATGTGGACAATGAAGAGACCACTTATTCTGATATCACTCTGGGTAGAAAGACATGAGTAGAATCACAAAATCAAAATATTTATTTTGTTCTTTTGTACATGATACTGTTAAAACATTCCTACTACAGCAATACTGCTCTCCAGGAGCTTACAATCTAAAACAGTCAATATTAATTATAGACCCAGTGATTAAGGCATTATGTCAAATGTAGACCTTGTATCTTTAGATGTATTTTTTTTAAGAAGCAGTTGGAGAGGAGAGGATCAAAATTAAATGACATGAAGATGTACCCCCTGCCTTCTTCCAGCTCCTTATAGGGAACTTTTTGTAGCCAGAACTCAAGACCAGTGCCCCACAGCCTGGAAGGGAATTCCAGACTACCCTACCATGGAAGTAGTGAAGAAATGTGAACTTCTAATTTCCTCGTGGACAGAGAAGATTCCCTGTTTGTGGGTAATGGGGGCGCTGAGTGTTCCTCCAGCATAGACTGGAGAGAGCACCTAAGACTTTATAACTGCAGATGGTACTAGGTAACCTCTACCTAACTTTATAGGAAGTCCGGTAGGACAACTGCTCCTTGAAATGTGCTTAAGGTCTCTACCAAGTGTTACAACTTCTGGTTGGTATCTATATCCACTGCATAGTAATGTCCACTGCATCGTGAGGGCTAGGGAGATTTAATAAACTGGACATATGGGATAAAAGACGTCATCTTTTAGATATGAAAGACAGAAAGAGAAAAAAGAACGGGATAAGGGGCCAAAGAAATGGGGATACAGGCTTCTAATACTTTGAACAGGGAAGGAGAAGAGATTTGGATCCAGAATGAACGAAGAAGTCAGGCACTAAATTCCGCCTGAACAGGGGTACAGAAATGAAAGTCAACGAGATCATTATATCATCACAAATCTAAGAGCACAAGAGAAAAAAATTAAACTTTAATTTTCCTCTTTCACTAGCTTCTTCCTTTGGCAACCTAGTCTAAGAATTGCTAAAATTCAGGTTTTTCAGGAGACTATCCTGAAAACCTATCCAAAACCAATATTTCTCTTTGGGAGTTTCAAATTCATAGCACTTTGTCTTAACTGGCCTTGATTTTTTTACATTGGTGATAAGGTATTGTTCCTTAAAAAATTATTTTATATAGCAGCTCATGTCAAGATTTCTAGAGAGCACCAGGGTTACTACTAAACATTATTTTATTTCTCATGGTTTTCTTATTCCTTGGCTTCTGAGACAATAACAAGCTATTTATACCTTAATGTTGGACTCTGTCAGCACCTGTTATTTACTCTCCTCATACTAAGTATCGGCACTATAAGGAGTGGAATGAGAGCAAAGCACAAAACTCTAAATGTTGGTTCTTAGATTTTAACCTCAATCCGGTAGGCTCATAACCCTCTCTTGGTTCAAAGCCATGAAAGTACACATTCCTCGTTCTGCAATATTTAACTGCACCCACAGAGAAAGTACAAATTTCAAAACCACAACAGAGGCCAACAGGATAGCTGTATTTTGTCTCTTCTGCCCTGAGGCACAATTGGAGTCTAGCACCAAGGAGGGCAGGATTTAACAGACCAGCACAGAAGAGTCACTTTACAGAGGTAGTTTGGACTGGGAACAAAACTGCAGTGTAGACTAACAACTGGACAGATAAAAACACAATGTGATTCTTTATTGAGAAAAGGTTTTGGCCACTTATGAGCTCATTAAGCCCCCAAAAGTAAGAAGAGCAGCAGTCTTGACCCTCCTTGGCACCAGGGACCGGTGCTCCTATGAGAATCTAATGTCTGATGATCTGAGGTGGAGCTGAGGTGGTAACGCCAGCACTGGGGAGCGACTGTAAATACAGATGAAGCTTTGCTCGCTCACCTGCTACTCATCTCCTGCTGTGTGGCCTGGTTCCTAACAGGCCATGGACTGGTACTGGTCCACGGCCAGAAGATTGGGGACCCTTGATGTAAAGGATGACGATCTGCCTGGTGTGAGCATAGATATCAGGGGCTGAGGAAAATCTGGCTATCAGCAGATGACACCCTAAGCCTCTCCAAAGACAGGGCTAGACTTTTGCCCTTCTGGCCTATGGCTGGTTGATTTATACTCCGGATCAAAGGTCTTTTCAACATTCAAGCTAATTCCAAGAATTACAGATCTTTAAAAATAAGGACCAGTGATTTCACACATGCTGATAAGTTACTTTGGTTACAGCCCTTTGTGCATGTGTGCTTTGGCACACACACACAGTTGGAGCTGAATAAATTTCTGTGGAATGATTAAGTATTGATCAGCAGTATTTAGTACACGAGTTAAACCCAGACATACCACCTACCAATCAGCAATTCAAATTCCCATGCTCACTCCACCAGGAGATACTCCCTTAGTTTAAAGCAGAGATTCTCTAAGTGTAGTACCCTGACAGTCACCTGGGAACTTGTTAGAAATGCCAATTTTTGGCTCTGGGTTGAGGCCCAGCAACTAGTGTTTTTAACAAGCCCTCAAGGTGATTCTGATGCATGCTGAAGTTTGAAAACCACTGGTTTAGTGGCAGACATGTGAAAACAATAATGGGAGGTAATGATTCAAGCTCTTTTGCGTCATTCAGCTGTGACAAACCAAGGTACCAAGTCAAAGTAAAATGTTAACGGTTTTATTTTAAAATATCGATTTCTATTTTCTCAAATTGATTGTCATCATTTTTGATTGACAAATTCATTCTAATCAAAATGTTAAGTGGGAACACAATTGATGAGTCAGCCACCCAAGAATGCGCACTTCTGCAAGCTCCAGGCCTGTATTTAGTCTCAGACCACCCCTCTGCCCACTGTAAAGATTTCAGTATAACACACCACACCTAGGGAAAGGCACAATGTATTTCCCACTCATTGAGTCCAAAGACTGGAACTTATTTTTTAATGTTAAGTTTGGGTTCTGTGTTTAGTTGGGCAAGAATTTCCCACAGCTGTCATATATCTTGGCTGAAGTTAATCCTTTTCCATCCCTGACCCAGGAAAAACCCATCAAATTCACAGATTGTCTGTTAAAAAAAAACCAGAAGACTAAAAAAGGAAGCAAGTGATCAAGTCACTGACTAGAAAGCCACCTGGATTAGACCAGAATGTATGACTTGGATGTAAGATAATGGTGGAAGAGGGAACATCTCATGGGTGGCTTCACTTTAAGAGATATGGGAATCTCAGCTCAGGAAAAAGAAGAGTCAGGAGGTTTCCACTTTAGCTCCAAAACTGTAAGCTAAACCTCTGCTGAGCACGTGTCTGTGTGTGTGTAAGGAGATAAGGAACAAGAAGGGAAGATATGACGAGAAATCATGTCTTCCAGTTTTGAACTGCTTCCCACCACAATCAATAAGGCAACACCGTGGAGTTTGACATTAATGGCAATGCTCTGTGATGTCCACAACGACTGCCTTTTTCCAGCTGAAGAGAAAGTATCCCATGCCAGCCCCTGCTGCTACAGCAATGCAGAGGTACCCATTGTAGGTCATGAAGATGAGCATGAGGAAGTAGCTGATGACCACCTGGATGATATGCAGCACTGTCTGCAGGAGGTGAGGAAAGCTCAGCATCTGCTGCCTGGGGAGTAAATAGGGAAACAATAATCAAAGACCCCAGGAAAGTTCTGCAGCTCTAGAGAAAAGGGGAACAGTTGTCACGAGCTCAGCTTGAACTAGACTCCCTCATAGTCACCCTGACAACTCGTGGGTACTTGTGTGTATGTATGTTGTTTATTGGTCCCTGGAAATGAAACATGATAGCGCTGTCAGGTTTATAAGCAATGGCTAGTTACGGTTATGTCAGCGGGAGGAACCCTCTTGGGCATTGGGGAAAGGAAGGACTAATCCTCTGACTTACTTCCACCTTGGATCCTGAAAGGGAAGCCTAAACCCTCTTATACCTATTTGCCTGAACATTTTCAGGCCTTCTACCTTTGCAAAGTTCACATTCTAAAAAAATGGAAATAGAATTGAGCTTTGGGGGTATAGTAGAAAGTACTTAATTAGGAATCAGAAACCTGGCTGTTTATTCCCTCTGTCACTTACTCGTTCTGTCACCTTAGGTAAGCCACACCAGTTTGGGGCCTCAATAAGTTCATCGGTACAATGGGAATAAATAACATTGTTACTTGAGAGCAGGATATTGGTCTATAGGATTGCTTGAATTTCAATTTAGTTTTAATACCTACATTTCTATTAAAACTGAATCTCAAAAGCATTTGTCAATCTCTGGGAAAAAGCGATAGTCATCCCAATACTTACTGAGATGGAATGCAGAAATTTCTAGTCTTATACTGTAAACAAACTGAGAAAAGCTGGGTAGGTCCAACTTTTTATATAATCAATTGGACTCTGCCATTCTTCTATATCCAGATCTGAATTTCTTTGCTTATTATTATTTTGGTAAATATTTTACAACATGGATTCCTTACCTTCTTCCAAAGTGACCAATACTTACTATTAAGAACATTCATTTTTGCAAATGAGTTACTAGCATTCCTCCTTTGGCCTGCTCATGATCACGATCCTATGCCTCCACAGCCAGTTTTGATTAAGGTCATTTAGAATCATTAATATGATTCTAAATGACCTTAGAGAAGGAGGCTGTTGCAAGTAAAATAGCTGCTTTGCTGCTTAGCTAACCTAGATCCCCAGAACTTTCACCTAGTCTGCTCAATCTTCTTACCCAACGGTTTTGTGTGTCTCCATAAGAATGGTTCCATTTGGTCCTGGGACAGGCATGGAATTGTAGCGAATGCTGACTTGTGACTTGCGCAGCAGGCTCTCTCGGGCTATCTTGAGTCCTTCATAGAACATTGCTAGTAAAAACACTCCCACAAAAGCTCCAGCCATTTCTAAGTAGGGAAGGAAAAGATGGTGGCGCTGTCAAACGTGTTCAAAAATACTAGCTGGTATGCTGTCTGAGCTAGAAACGTAACACAAGAAAGGTGCTCTTCTTAATTTCCGAGTACAGTATACAAAAGGGGAATAAAACAACTTATTTTGTAAATGCTAACTATTTCTTGAACAGTATTTCAATTCTAAGTCTTTCACACTGGAAAGCATTGGTAATGCTATGAATGTATTCAAACTTCTTATTTAATATACTACCTGAAATAAAAGCTCCCTTTCTTCCCAGAACAAAGTAATTTTATGGCTCCAAAGATTTAACTGCATCTTAAGCAGTCCAATTGACTATTGGGCTTGTGCAATTTGAACTTAAAGCACAACTCAACATTATAGACACAAAACAGTGGGTGATTAGTTACCCAAAAATCTAAGACTGACACTGAGATGGGCCAGAATCAGGAATGATGTAGAGCACAATTTGGTATACTAGAAAAGCACTGGACCAGGTAGGTCTAGAAGGTATGGATTCCTGTCCTAGTTCTGACATACTAATTCTATGTGATTTAGGGCTAATCATTTTACTATTTGAATCTTAAATTATCTGTAAAATGGCACATCATACTAGATCAATAGTTTTTAACACAGAGTTATTTTAACTTGAGTATAGTCTTATGTCCATGACCAATAACTTATCAAGCAAGGAAGCACTCTGGGAAAAGATGACAGGAAATGGATTACGAAAGACTCCTATCTGTTATCTAAATTATTTTTCAGGAACTCTGAACTAAGCATTGTGTATGCTTACTTTTTAGGTAGGAAATAGGAAGCAAGATGGTTATGTATCATAACCAGAATGACTTAGTAACTATGACAGAAACAGTTGCTGGGTTTCCAGACTCTTTATTATTCTCTCTCAAACACTACCTGATGGCTTACTCACCTCCAGCTGTGTTGATCACCAAGCCAGAAAACAATAGTTCCACATTCTTAAAGCCAAAGTAGAAGGTCATGTGCTATCAGAAAACAATAACACGTCAATTAGAGATGACTGAAGATTCTAAATGAGAATTTCAGGTAAAGAAGCTTAAAACCCTTAACAGTAGCAGATATGGGTAATAAGAGACATTCACTGAAGTAGGAGGCTTTCTCATTTTAGCAATACTACCACTCTCCTTTGTTCCTCCCATCAACTTTTGTCTTTTTCTCTTTTTTATACAAAGCATAAAGACCAGAACTTAATTCAGAAAAGGATCAATTTTGAAAGAAAGGAATACAGAAGAATGGACCTTAGAAATCTTGGTTTTGGTGTGGCTCTGTAATTAACCTGCCACATGATCTTGGGCAAATCACTTGACTTGTCTAAGTCTGCCTTAGCTTTCCCATATTGATAAACTGACCTTTAAATAACAACCTTCCAGTCCTAAAGTTCAATTATTTCTATTACCCAAGTGTACGGGAAAGGGTCTGGGCTGCTTCTACTGTGGTACTCACCATCATCATCATGTGGCCAGCTCCCCCGCCATGGGAGTGGGAGGCTGAAGTGGTCGGGTGATGGTGAGGTGCCATGGTACTGTTGTGGTCCATATGGTTCATCCCCATATGGTGGGAATGGTCCATTTTTCCAGGAAAAGTTCTGAGTTGGCAGAAGTGTCTAAGAAAAAGGATTATATATAATAAGAATATGAAATCTTAAGTATATAAAAATCTTGATAAATATTTCGTCTATGTGGGATTTCATCCAGTAGATGAATGCTCTCCTAGCATCTTTCCTCAGAATATTGTTCATAATCTACAGATAAAGAGGGAAGTAACTGTGCTCACAGGGATCATCTTTGGAAATTATGGCAGAAAGGATTTGCACCTAGAGTTTCAGAAATCTAACTCCTATTCTACAGAACCATTCCTTGAATAAATACGTTCAATATATGTTCAAATCTAAATATGAGATGAGAAGAAAAGTAGCTTCTTCAAGCTGTAGGAAGCAGACAATTTTTGTAATAACAGACAAATTGATGTCATTAATGAAATTTAACTACTCTTAGGCTTTCTAATCATTTCTAATAAATGTCAGTAGTAAAAAGCAAGCACTTCAGTTAATTCACCTAATTGGATGGCCTGTGTGCAATCAAGATATTAAGAATACATTTTCACATATAGAACAACTAGCCTTCAGCTGATTTAAATTTGAAGAAAAGGTCTCCTGCTGCCCTAGGCAAGCAGTGTGCTCAGAATTTAGATACAATTTCAATCCTAGCAGGGCATTAGAGCTAAGAACACTGACAACAACATATAAATTGGCTTTTCTATATTAAATTAAGTCTAGACAATGGCAAAGTCAGCTACCATATCATAGCTTTCCTGCAAAAGTCCATCTGGGACATAAACCAAGGACCTAAACTGCTGTAGGTGGGAGTGGGGAGTGGGAAGTTGGAAGTTGAGGAGGGCGCTGAAAAAGGTGTTGATGGAGTCTCTTTAAGTGTCCCTCAACTCCCATCTGTGGAGGAGAGAATGTTAGAAATTCCAAGTAGGTATTCATGTTCATGAGCTCGAGTGTGCCTCTCATTATCCATTCAATCAATAAATATTTACAAAGCTCCTACTATGTAAGTAATAGTGAATAAGAAAAACAAGGTGTCTGATATAGAGAAAAAGAATTAAGTAAACAGAATCAATTTCCTGTGAAGGAAATAAACAGGGTAATATGCACTAGTAAGAGACAGAGAAAAGGCATACTTTCGAGAGGAAATTAGATTCAGGAAGTCATGTATGTCTAACTCAAAGGCACAAATATTCAACTTTGAACTTAAATTAACTTTCATGTCACACACTATATTAATTTAGGATTATAGAGCTTGACAATCTGGTATTATTAACACCATTGCCATAAAGGGACTAGATTGGAGGTACAAATAGATATATAACAAGATTTCTGTCCACAAAGTTTTTATATTAGAAGTTAAAAATAAAATATACACAAAAATATCAACAAGAGAGCACACAAAGTTTCAATTATGGGACAAATGGTTAAGTGGGCACAGTTTTCAGATAGAATTATGGTAGGATGGAGAGATCACTGGTATCTAGGTGATCATAAATTATGATTTTGAACCAAGCAAATGAAGTGAAATAAGAATGAAAAGACTTTTGCTAGCCAGGAAAACTGATAACACATCCTTATATAAAGAGATTGAAGTCACAAATTTCGTTCTCTTCCAATAAGAGTTTTGAAAGTGATTGGAGCATAAGAAAACCACGAAAGATAATTTCACTCCATATTATCAACATAAATCCTGGCCATTGATTTGGTGAATATTTGTGAAGTGCCTTCTTGTGTAAGAAACAGTGATACAGAGATGAACCAGAGTCTTTCCTGAAGGAACTTCAAGGCTAAAAGCTAGAAGGGGAAACTTTATAGTCATAATTTTCATTTTGGGGCATAATATGACATGTAAAGGACAGTTTAAAAAGCAAGAACACAGAATCACAGACTACTTAAGACTCGTACCCTTGACTTCCTTGATGAACTTTTATATATTCTTCTCATCAACATTTTTTGAAGACCCGCAGGTTCCTAACTGTTCAGGTGCCTCATTACCAACTAGAGTAAAACCTGTTCCATTAAGATATGTAATCAAATCTCTCTGGACACATCAGCGACTCAGTAATTCATATGTTCAAATCTCAAGAACACCTTTCAAAGTGTGCATCTGTTTTGAAGTGTCATCTTTGTAGGATACGTTTCACATTCAAATATACTAGGAAGTAGAGGAGGAAAAGAATTTATTTCCTTTCATCATCAGTGCACAATGGATTTCTTATAATGGAATCCTATGCAATGGTATATGATTCGGAAGGTACAATTCTAGTGGAAATTAATATATGAACATATACTGTAAGCACAAACTCAAGTCAATCCTGGCAAGTCTTTATGCTCACTAAAAGTTTTGTTCTAGAAAAAAATCTCATGGGAACATATCAAACACAAATGATATCAAAAAAAGAAAAACTTAGAAATTTATCATTAAAGTATAATAAATAAAATACATCACATTCTTATTGTTTAGCTACTTGACTTTTCAATGATGTGCCATTTGTATTTGGATAACTAACTCATCTTCTAAAGCAAACAAACACACCTAACCCATTCTCCCTAGAAGAGAAATTCTACTTACAAGAGGTAAACTGGCAGTTGGTTAGTGTTAGTCTGTTTCCTTCGATAGCTCTAATCTGAGAGATCCAAGCTCAGCTTCTTCCAGAATAAAAATGGGCACTGAAGAATAAACCAAAGAATAGCAATATAACAATAAATTTGTTGTCTTAATTTGTAATCTGAAGAAAATGGTTTAATCTTGAGCTGTGCTGTTTTGCCTTTGGTTTATGCAAGTTTCTTTAAACTCCACAGCCAACTTCAATGACTTGATCCTTCAGAACTGTTTTCTGTAACTTAGCTCCACCCTGCTGTCTCCTTCTGAGAACTGAGTTCAAGGTTCACAAAGTAGCTGCACTATATACTTTTATGGAACCAAGTATTTATTTTTTAAATTTTATATTAGTTTTAGGTATATAGTACATTGGTTAGACATTTTTATAATTTATAAAGTGATCCCCTGATTACTCTATTATCCATCTGGTTTTACACATAGCCATTTCTAAACCATTGACTATATTCCCTATGCTGTACTCTACATCACCGTGACTATTTTGTAACTACCAATTTGTATTTCTTCATCCCTTCACCTATTTCTCCCAGACTCCCAACCCCTTACCCGCTGGCAGTCACCAGATTGTCTTCTGTATCTTGGAATCAAGTGTTTTGATTTGTAACATAATTACAATGAATGGAACTTGTAGAAGAGTTAGTAATGATGAATGGAACCTTGGCTAAGTTTCCTTACTGATTCACTGGATTTTTTAGGACAATCTATATGCATATGTTAATTCCTGGCTAACACTCCTGTTCTTGTTTAAAACCTCTACTGTTCACTTTTCTTATCTTTATTCTTCTACTTTATCAAATTTACAAACTATTTATAAAGAAGAACATTAACAAAATAATCTTAATATACAACTCAAGGATAGAGCTGAAAAACAACAAAAAAAAAATCTTAGGATTCCTAACTTTCGATCTATGAAAAAAATCCACCCACAATATTTTATTTACCAAGTTGAGTTTGTAACTAGGTGGAAAGATTAAGAATACTGTATTTCTACTTACGTTTTTGCCCATTCAGGCAAACTAGTTTTCTCTGATAGAATCCAAGAGGGACCCATACTGGATTAAGCACCTTTACACTACATAATAGAGTGACAAGCTCAACTAGATAGCTAAAAACCATCTTTTGAAGAATTTGAAAGGTGCTCTGATTTTATGACCTGGAAGAATTACTTAGTCTCTCTGGAGCTGGTTTCTGGCTTGTAGAAATGGGAGAGCCGCTGGGAGGCTGTACTGAGATAACAGACATAAAACATCTACCAAAGTGCATAATGAATGGTAGCTATTATCGTTATGTGGAATATGAGGCAATAAAAGACTGTAGACAGGGAAAATCCAGTGAATGAACTTTGTGGGCAAAGTAGCTTCTCTTCTACAAAGTGTTCTAGCCAAGACTTCTTTCAAGCCATTTTGCCTAACCTGTCTCCTGAGACCATAAAGTGGCTATCAGCACTCATGTGGATAGTTCATTAATAGATTTTGCTTCTACCATAGAAAACTTCTTGGATCTTTAAGGAAATACAAGAGAAATGGTCTAGAAACTGACTATAGGGAAGAAAAAATCAAGTATGAGTTTCTATAAAGTAGTTAAGTTTAATTTTTAGGAAGGCTTTAGGCTATTCAGTTCCTAGGGAGCATTTATGTTATTTTCGGTTAGGTACTTAAAGTTGGCTATATGTCAACTTGTTTCTATTTCCTTGAATACTATTAGATGTGGGAAATGAAATTCAACATGGAATGTCATATAGCTTTGCATTTCTATGCATTTAATAAGTAAAAGTATTTATAAAAATAGGTTTCAAAACTGCCTTGTATTCAAGGGTCTAATTCTTTCCCAGTCTACTTCTGAGTAGACTGAGATCATCAAAAGAGAAGTTTCCTCTACCCTCACAACACAGACACGTTGCCCACCCCTCACAACACAGACATGTTGTAAAGCTTAACTAGAGGGTGAGATTCTTTGCAAAATCTAGCATCTCTAGCAAAATAAACATGGATTTATGGACATAAGTTAAGAAATTAGTGAGAAGGCTAAATTCTGATGCCTACTCTGAGTCTTAGCATTGACATTACTTCTGATAGGTTTAGTTTAAACTTCAATTCTCTTTTATTTTCCTGGTATTGCACAATGATTAATAAGAAACAATAATCCATAGGGGCTATGGAGATTAGACTCCACAGAAGGATTACACAGAAGTGATCATATATCTGCCACATGGTCCCTCTTCTCCAGCTCAGACAGATATAATCTGGAGCCTCGGACAATTCTTTTGGAGACTGACTTCTATGATAAAGAAGATAAGGAAGAAAGTTTTTATTCTTAAAACGATTAGGGTCATGTTCCTTTTTAGATTTGTAAAAACACTAAACAAAGAGAAATCTATCTAGTTGGGCATCTGCTTTCTGCAGTCATTATTTATGATTGGTAAAATAAACTTTAACCAAGCACAGACATGGGCAATTCAAGGTCAAAGATAGTAAACCACCAAAAACAGGGATTCATGTTTACGGACTATGTTTACATGATCTAGCAACCAGTTTAACTGGACTAATCCTGCCTTCTGATGACCTGTACACACGCAGTAGATTTTTTGAAAAGTGGCTCAGGTTTTGTTCCAAGTGTCCCTATAGGTGCACTTTATAATTCCTTAATAGCGTTATGAATTCCACACATAGGTTGTCCTTTTGGTGAGGGAGGAGGTAAAGGAGATATAGGAATGACAGGGAGACCTTGATATAATGCAATAATAATTAGGGCTTAGGGGTCTCTCTGAAACCAGGCATTCCAGGCCAATATATTGGAGTCGTTTAGAAAAAACATAGTAGCTCCCAGTAAACAGGAATGGGAAATACAATTTGATGAATGTATTGGGGAAGATGCTTCTCCTTGAAGGTTATGATGTTGTTCCACTCATCCCCGAGGCCCTGGCCTCACATTCCTATTCCGAATTGACTGGTAGAAATGTGACTGGTAGAAACTGTATGGCTATAAACACACAATCCTTCAGATATTTTAGTTGCCTTTCTTTGGCTTGTGTCTTTCTTGAGGTGCAGTGATCATAAGGATACTTAACTTTACCAATTCATTCACAAAGGATATTAGGCTTGAGTAAATCACAGGTTTACACAAGCTCTGACCCAGAACTGGCAAAAACTTAGGATTCCCAAAGTTCTGCCATACAAAGTACTAAACACAGTAAGTAAAATGATGCAGTGGAGGCAGAAAGAAAATAGGTTAGGTCAACAAGAAAAAAAGAAATGTAAAAGACCTTAAAATTGTACACACACACACACACATACACAGAGAGAGAGAGAGAGAGAGAGAGAGAGAGAGAGAGAGAGAGAGCGAGAGAGAGAGAGAGAG